GACTGATTACAATAAACTGGCAAGTATTCAGTGTTCAACGTCATTTGGTGACCAATGTAATCGCTCCAATTTTCAAAAGAAAACTGCCCTTTCTAATTAAATTTTGTCATTTATTAAGTCATTATGAGTTTGTAACGAAGTGCGCATGTGTAAACTGAATGTAGTAGCCACCCATGAAGGGTTCTTTTTATATATATTTTTAGGGGTTATTTCGGTATAGGTCAAATGGAAGTGTCCTTAACCCCCTTTAGCGACAAAATTATACAGAGGTTGTTATCGCATAAATCATTCACTTCCAATATTTTTCAAAAAGTTGCATAATTAAAGAAATTCAGCGATACACGATGTAAATAATGTGCACTCTCCTGATGATTAAATATGCTCCCGAAACTCAACTCCACCCATGGTATTGTAAACAACTTTCTATAGGCTGGAGGCTTTCAAGCTTAAAAACTAAGAAAGTTAGTTTTTATTAAGTGAGCATTTAAACTATTAAACACTCACGGTCACTTTCTTTTGGGTTTTTAATTGTTGAAATTTCACTTGATAAACACTAACATTTACTATGTGATGCCGCTCTTAACGCTCACGATGTGACCTGATTTATTTCATTCATAAATGTAAACAGACCGACCACGTGATCATGCAATATCAACCAATAACAACCAATAAGATTAAATACTCGAGCTGATATTTTATACGGTGGGGCGTAGCACAGAGTAGAAATAGTTAACTAACATTAGCATGTGAAAACTTCATTAATTTTATCAATGTTTTGTATATAAGTCGGTTCAGCTGAAACTGAAACAAATTGTCGATTTGTAAATCTTTATTTAATTTCAATTTATTTTACCTACATTTTAATTTCTTATTATGTTGATCATATTGAAAAACAAGCATGAAAATGATTTATAAATCTTAATTTTGTTTCAATTTATTTTAACTACATTTTAATTACATATTATGTTGATCATATTGAAGAACAAGCATAGAATATCATTTCTAAATCTTAATTTAATTTCAATTTATTTTAGCTACATTTTAACTACATACAGTATAAAGTTCATCATATTGAAAAACAAGCATCGAAAATCATTTACAAATCTTAATTTAATTTCAATTCATTTTAGCTACATTTTAATTACATATTATGTTTATCATATTTAAAAACAAGCATAGAACATCATTTGTAAATATTAATTTAATTTCAATTTATTTTAGCTACATTTTAATTACATAATATGATAAACATGAATTTTCTATATGGTGGCCTGCTAATATTTTACTATCCATTTAGTTTCAGTCCCAGTTTAAGCGGCAATTTGTTATATTATAGCTGACAGACATTTATTTGACATAAATCATCACGTTACGCTGAAATGTAAATATTACGCTGGGATAGTGAAAATTGTATGGCCTAATCATGGAAATTTAAAATTAGCGAAATAGAACAACCCGGTTAGTAAGAGAGCCAACGTACTTTATAGTAGATCAATCTTAAAGAAATGACCGACAACATAATGCTGCTGAACAATTATCTTTGAACCCTCATGATAAATAATTGCAGGACAGTCGTCTTTGCTTTTCGAGATCGTTCGTATTAGCAAAACATCTTAAAAGGGTAACATATAAATCATATACAAAAGTTTAAAAGAAAACTAAATCACAGGATAATTTCTTTTCATATTGATCTCCACCAAATAAATAAAAACAATGAATAATATTTGTTTATCACAAATATAAACAATAATTGAAAAAAGAAATGACCATAAAAAATAAAAACAGGACAAGCAATTACAAGAAAGATATTTCTTTTTTTTATCATTTATATAGTTTTAGAGAAGACACCGATAGTTATTTTATAAACTCATCCGCATAAATTCAACGACAGAAAACCATGGCTTACAAGAATTATAAAATAACACAGTAGCCCAAAATCTATATTTATAACTAAGAACTTACCACCAGTCTTCGCATTGTAAAAGGTCGAATCTATTGATTTTTCTTCTAATTATCATTATATTATTCAGTTTTTTTAATTTCTTCATGTTTTGGGCGGATCTGATTTGTAACATTATATTATATAACATTATATTATAGTAATCATATGTGAGTAAATATTTGAATAATGGATAAAACATGTCTCGGAATGAGCATCGTCCCCAATTGTGACGCTCGCTTTGCTTCCTCAAACAGATTTGCATACGGTTGTATGTTGCTCCGCCTATGCATTTAGCTTGCTTATTGTTTATAATTTTATTATATACGAATTTGCCTGGCAAGAGCACAGGTCAGGTAATTTGACGTAGGTTGATTTTTTTCTTAATAAGTAGCCGATTGCAAAGTACTATTTGATATAGCAATTCAAAAACATCTGTTATTTTTTATTTCATTTTTTTTCAGAATAGGTAAGGAAGCTGTTTGAATTCCAGTTCAATATTTCTCATTCAAAGAGTAATATAAGTTACCGAAAAAAAAAAGATTGGTTTTTCGTATTGTATATCCCTGTTTAGATTTTAATTCGTACTTACTTAAATGGCAGCATCTCTATATTGATTTGCAATAGTTACGACAATGTCAGGGTGTTTATATTGACAAAGTGCATATTTTAATCAAAATATAAGATCTAACCCTGAATAATATATCTAAAAATTTTAATGAAATTCAGATTGTTACAAAATTTTCCTGTGTTTGAAAATGTATGTAAAAACTAAAAAAGAATAACATCTCATCCGTTTCAAAATTAATTGACCTTACAAAATCACCAGATGTAGTGAAAAGTGTATTGCCTTTGTGCTCAGCAAAAAAAAAATAACCCTAGTTTCATTTGTTATATTTGCTTACGTAAAATCCATTTGATCAATGAACCTTTTTGTCTGCCTAATGTCTGCCTCCAATTAGTTATTTAAAGCGGAACCTGCCCGTAAAACGCATTACGTTATGGTCAACAAAATATTGTTTTATAGAAATTTTCGCTAATGAAGATTATATTGTTTGGTTATTTGAATAGCAACAAGGAAAACCGGAGTAACCGAATCGCATTCGCCGATTTCAAATTAAAAGCCTATATTTGTAAATTACAATTAATATTACAATTTTGAATTATAATGAGATCTATGTAGATAAAAATTAAGATTAAATATTTTTTTTACTTTACCAAGCAGTGTGTTTTCTTCATTTTAGTTAATTGATATTTCAATTATGTTGTTTTCCCTACAGATCAAATAGTATGCTTTTTCTTTTTTTTCACGTAAGAAGCCATTGCAGTGACTCCGTATATGTTCTAATTTAATTTAATTTTGCTTACTTTTTGTCCATTCTTTGATTTTCTCCCTGGTTACGCTCGCCAGAAAATAAAGTACTTTTTAATGAAGTTGTTGGTGAAAGAATAACACAAGACGTTTGATGTTTACAGAATGCGATGCGTTACTGATTATTGAAATTCAATATGCATAGGTATAAATCAACAACATTCAGCATGTGAACCCAACAATTTATACATATAACTCAACAATATATACACATAACCCAACTATATATACATATAACTCAACAATATATACATTATATACATATAAAAATATATCTATGATAAAATAACAAGATTATGAAAACACTGATTGCATTGTTATATGTCCTGGAATTTTTTTATCACAAAAAAAAGGATTATAAATGATAATGTTAAAGCACCCGGGTAATCAGTCATAGAACACCAAAGCCGCACAGGAAACAGATTAAAACCTGAAGATATGGATGGTGTGATATTTACATCTGTGATGTACTTACACGAAACATTAATATGTATGCATATCACAATCCGGGCACAATTGTTTAAGATTTGTATTATGTTCGTATGTAAGGAATAAGGTTTAAAGACTAGTCTAATTGAATAAAAAAAAGTTCGATGAAGCGAACTAACACATAATTTACTCTTTCAGTAACGTCTGTCGAATGAAAAACAAGATACAAATGTGTTAAATATTTACAGGATCAGCCGCACGAAAATCCGTGCAATCTTTCTAAAGAATATCGAAGATGTAAAACGGACATAGAGAAATACATTACAGAAGTAATATGACAAATTGAAAATCAGTTGATTTCTTTTGAAAAAATGGTTAATTTGAGCGCACAACTTAAAATAAGAAAATAAAATAAGCCATGAAGGCATTTTGAATATCATTTAAAAAAAAAAAAAAAGATTGCAAAAACTTTCATGACTGGAAAAAAAGTAATTTTCTCTACTCTTAAAAGAAATAACACAAACGAGGAACCTTTATATTTGCGCTAGAGCATTGCTCGGAAAACAATAAAAGTCGAAAATCTGTTTATGAAATAAGAGTAGGTCTTTTATCAAATATAAAATAATTAATCATATACAAAAATATGATTAAGTAACTATGTAGGAAAAATGTTTAAAAACGTCACAGCTTAAACACAAACAATTATGGTACGTGTTAAGTATCAGGCATCAAAAATGAATATAGCATTTTTAATAATTGAACCCCCAAAACTATATAAAACTCCTACCTGAATTCATTTGTGCAAGTATGATGAGTCTCCTACTCCAGAATCATTTGTTAATTATACATAATTTATTAATAATATATCACAGATAAAATGATTACCCTACCCCATAATTATTTGTAATTAATATGTTATTTATAAATAATTTATCACAGACAAAATGATCGTCCTAGCCCAGCATTATTTGTAATTAATATATAAATTAATGAATAACTTAATAGATTCACAGAATCATAATTTAAATAAAAGTAATTTTCTCTATTTTTATACAAATTATAAACTGTTATTTAGAACAAGTAATACAAATGCAGAGATCTAAAATATTTACACTGGAGTACTGATCAGTAAACAGTACTGGGCGATAAAGTGTTTATAAAATAAAATGGATATCTTATAAAGCATGAAATTAGTACAAAAAATATTATTTAGAAACTTGCAAAATACGAATAAGAAGAGAAAAATATACATAACTAAATATTAAAAGCTTAAATGTAACAATAATCTTAAGTATGGAAACCTAGCTTATTTTGAAAAATACATACTTTAGAAGCAAATGTTATAGTGTTTATTTGAAGATCTTTGTAGATAAGAAAACTAAAACCAAGAGACCTCACTCCATGTTCGAATCCTTCTGCCACACCTAGGACAAAGGGCGAATCGAACAAGGCAACGTTGGCAGATTATGATGTGTCCACATTCTCTGTTAACGGCATCGCGAATATTTGTCGTACACTCTGAACACATAAGTTCATCTGGAAGTTGCTCTCTCAATGCATGTGGCAGAGCTGTAACTTGATTCTGCAATAAGACTGTTAAACAAGTTGGTGTCAATGTGAATTATTTATAGTGTATGTTATGCAAAAACATATCAATGTGAATTCTCATACAAAAAGACGCACAAGTAGCTAACTGAAAAAAAATGTTGTTTTTTTTCAAATGTTCAACAAAAAACAAATGCAAGCAGAACTTGAATACACAAATTCATAAAAATTAGATGGAAAAATTAACAGGCAGTAGAATTATCAACTATTTGTGTTTCAAAACAATTTAAAGCAGATGCCTCAAGATTCCTGTGAATTTTTAAAAGTTTAAGTACATTTTTATTTTGGCCCATCTAAAGGCATGCATATTTAACAGCTGTAATCTTAGTCTTCAAAAATAGTACCTGCAGAATGCCGATTTCGTCTTACTCTTCTATTGCGATTTTCATGTCTAAGAGAAACTACTCGTTCTCGTGCGTGATTTTCACGCCTGAGTGAAACAACTCGTCCTTCTGCATCACTGTTGTTCTGGTCATATGGGTTTCTGTCTCGTTCAATATTACCATTATAGCCTGTCTCTTGTCTTATACGTTCTTGGTTGTCTCCATTCCAGAAAAGCCGTGCTGCCACAAAGAGCCTTAATAGAGCGAATATCCCTATCAGGCTGGTTATTATTATCTAAAGTCAAAAAGTGCACGTATTAATTATACAATTTTGTTGTAATGTAAAACAGTACGTGTCAGAAATAACAAGATATGTTTGTAAAATATGTATGCCTCTATATGCAGAAAATAAATTAAGTGGCCAGTTTTTTATAACTGACCTTTGCCCTAGTGACCAATAAAATCAATAAGGGTTATCTACTGGTCATGACTAGTCACTTGGTCATTGTGACCATGAAGATTGTGTGCAGCAATTTTATGACAAATTTATCACAAAAAATTACATATTCATAAATTTAATTTTATGAATCATGTAGGCCTCCTTAATGACTTGCTGTCCATTAAGAATTGTTATATTAGATAAGAAAAGTTTATACCAAAATCATTTTTAGTTTAATAAAAATATCAACCAAGGCAACTTTAGTTGTTGAGTAGTTGTTCTCCTCAAAATATCATAGCCTTCTGTGATTTATGATTGTTAGAACGAACTTTGTCCGTTGCTGAACGTCAACCAGCTGTTCTGATTATACTAATTTACTCGTTTCCCTTAACGGTACCCCTAAGGACTGTCGGTACGACTGTAAATAATTGGCGGATTTATTTGTTTGTGATCTATAAAGATACTTCTAAACAAGTGATAAGTTTATAAGATTCCAACTTAATGAATATATATTAGTTTGATGTATTTGTCCCTTTAATAAACAAGAAATATTTTACATATTTGATATCCCTAGAATTCTCTAATCCTAAAATCAAAATAGAAATGTTACTATTTATAGATTTACATTGCATATATTGTTTAATGCATTGTTCATTAAAACAGATGCATGATATCCTGACAGGCTATATAAATTCATAAATATATTTTATATTAAAAACACATCCATAGCTGGAATATCACAAGTAGCAGAAATATATTGATCCAAGATTCTTTACAAAACGAAACCACGTGAACGGTGGGCATGTATTTAGTGGCGTTGCTGCATTTACGTCGAATACGCTCGAACACGCTCGTGTGTGCATTTCATTCTGAGAAGTTTTTTCAATTCATTATGCGACACATGTCAACCTAACCAATGTTTTCTTTTTATTGCGAGTCAGAAAACGCATCTATCTGGTACGCGATTTTGTTTTTTCATCGCTCTTGATAAAGATCTAGGTCAACTTAGCACGTAAGACTTTCAAGATACAAATTGACAAATACAAGTTATTTAAACGGATATGCATCAGTTCAAGCCTGTTAATAATAATTATCTAAAAAAACAAAACAAAAAAAAACAATACCGGCCAGAAATCCATCAGTTTAATCCAAAGACAGTGTATATCAATGGTTGGTTCGTTAAATGAGGTACTTGTGAAGGAGGTGGGTTTTCAATTTTCGCCAGATAAATTTTACGCAGGCGTTTTAATTCATTTTGGGGGGAATGATTAGAAAATTTTTCTGTAAGATAGTTAAAAATTTTACATTTTAACCCCGACTTTTATATGTTAGTACGGTATTATTCCAAAAATGTCCGAATGGGCAGAATACAGGCGATTCCGCCAAAGAGCAGTTCTTATATTAAAATAAATAAGTTCACATCTGTGTTCTTTTTATAATTTTACTACAAAACTCCGTAATATTACAAACTGTACATTAAGTTCATAAAACCGAAAACAATGCAATTTCAATGCGAAAAAATGAATAAAAACCTAGTGCTGTCTGGCATACGGTCAAGATACGCCATGAGAATAAAAATGAATTTAATTTACATTTTCTTTATCTAGAATCTACATATAAAATTATTTGTTTATTTTTATATAGATATAGGTACCTATAAAACATTAAATCTCTGTTTGATCAACTTTTGTAATTAGCTTACTCGCCTCATATGTAGCTTGAATACGAACAATTTCCTTAAAAACGTCCAAGTGCAGTTTTTACTAGAGTCAATGCTCATCGTATTTAAGTGTTCAATGGATATGTTGTGCGTACTTTTACATGATTTGATTATATTCCGAAATTGAAAAAGTTGTTATCCTTTTTAACTTAATTAACAAAAAATATTGTAGGCATTTTGTAAATATCGACATCTCATTAATATCACACAATAAATTAATTAGATAAACAAACCATAAAAAAACATTATGAAAGGCAATATGTCGACATGATATCTCTTTAATGTTGGAAATTATAAATTTGTCATATATCAGTAATGCTTAGTTAAAGACCAACTTGCAACTATATAAATATCACTACTGAAACTTACCAAACATATCTTTTATTTTCTCTTTGAAAATGCCTATCTAAGTTACTGAAGTTTTATGATGTTATTTAATTGTAATGAATACAACAAACATTCATAAGATGTATGTAAGTTCCATAAAAAGTATGGATATGAGACGTGCAAGTATGATATCCCGCATCAAGTGAGTGTCCGCAAATCAGTCTGTTTGCAAATTATCTCGGAAGGATTATAATTTTTATGCAAACATTATATTAGTGTAATTACTAATTTCTTAACAATTTGAAAAACACCGAAAATAATAATAATGGTAATACGTACCCCAAAATGACATTTCTATAACTTTTACAAAATATTGACTTGTGTGTTTTCTTTTTCGTTGAGGCACATCTTTTAAAATAAATTATCGCATGGCTGTGAGCTTTTCCTTTGTTCTTTCTAACCCATTATACTCAGTACACTTCAATGAGCATTTCAAAACTGTATTGATATATAACAGTACAGTTTTTTCATTGATTCATATAGAAAAAAACTCGACTGTTATATATCGGTCGAGTTTTTTTCGCAACTTGTATATATCAATGACAGTTTTTTCATTTAGAGGCTCAATGGGGCAGTGGTGACGACCATTCCCATAGGTCAAAAAAAACAACAAAAGTAATAAAAAAATGAAATCAATAAAATAAAATATATAATACAATGAAAAATAGTAAACAAAGGATTCATTAATGAAATGAAAAAAGCCCTTTAATTTTTAAATCAATCTTGGTAAACGAGTATACAATCCGCCTCTTATATTGGATGTCTTTTGTATTTTTTTTTTGCGGCAGCGAAAACAACTTGAAAAATTGCCTTATGATAAATAACTGTAATGTATGCTAACGATTAATTTAATTTATTTGTCTTCTATACAAA